GAGGAAAAGTAATTAAGTAGCTAGCATCACTGCAGGTAACGTGAGAAATGCTTGCAGAGATTCGCTTGGCTATAGAAGCACAAATGAATCGTCAGCATCGTCAAGATTTTTTAACGACAATTTTTTAAAAAATGTATAATTCTGTCAAAGATAATCTCCGTGCACTTAAGGGCTGCATATTCAAATGTCAATTATAGCTTGCAATTTGTAAAATTTAATTGTCAATTTTCAGAGAAATCTTTGCTAGAACAAAAGGAGTAGTAAGCACCACATTGAACAGAAGAGTAGTGGCAAGAGTATGCAGCATACTATCGCTTAATTGTGAGGAGAATGACGAATGGAAACTGCTATAATAATAATAATGTATAATAATCGTGGGGTATGCGAAAATATAACTGATATAAAATTGGAATTTTCTTTGGGTGGATTTTAGGTAAAGTAAGGTCACCATTTATCATTTTTGGCTAGGTTTGCTCCGCTAGCTATTTATATAGTTAGAAAATTTTTTAATGACGAATTTACTCCTTCATTGGAGCAGGAGCTGAATCTTGCCTCCCAACATAATAATCTAAACCACTATCCATCCGGTTATCCTGCCACTTATATAAATAAATTGCTTAAATTTTTTTTTGTAGGCAAAACGGCAAAACTATAGTATATACCATGGCAAAAAAAATGAAAAAGAGAAGGAAGGGAGAAGGCGTTGGTAATAGTCACACTGAGACTGAAGTATGCGCTTCACCAGCATCATTCGGGTTATATTTTTTATGGCGAGATGTACTCGCTTCGTGAGAAGGGGATCAAATCTGTTTATCTATGATGTTTTGTTTTAGTAAATGCCATACGCCACTTCACACCATCCTACTACTTATTGTTCCCCATTAAAACATATGATTCAAAAGAACAGCTAGTTTTTAGCACATTCATGCAATTCATGAAATGCAGTTTTTTAGCCAGCTTCATTCACTTCTTATTTATTGTTAAAAATTGGAATCAACATTAGGTGCAGTGAATTTCTAGTTATCTGATAACAGGTTTTTCAAAAACGATTATATGGAACTCCTATCTGTAGTTATTGCAAGTTTTTCATTTTTACTTATCTGTGTTCTTTTTCCAGCACTCGCTACTCTTGGTTTGGACGACTCTGCTGATCATTATGGTGATAACCTTTTTTCAAGGAATATCACTCGAATTTCAGTTTTAATGGTAAGGTTCGCTTCCATGAAGGAATGGAAACGGAAGTCGAACTCATTATGCTTGGGCCTTAGTTAAAGCGAAATTCCGCACGATTAATCGATTCCCATTTTTGTTATATGTAGATAATACAATAAAAGTTATGGCCATTTGAAGCTATTCGCTACCTTTTGGTTCCAATTTTTTTTGGTTGCCGTTGTAAATAATTTTTGTATTCATATTTCGAAATTAAGAAATTAATGATATAACGAGAAAAAATAGATCTATTATCAGCGCGAGTTTTGGACTCGATTTTTAAATATGATTCAATTAATCGTGAATTAAACGGTTTTTTTTCGAATAGATGAATAGACTCTATATCAGAAAAATCCAGTGATATGGTGGATATCTTCACAATTCACTTCGTCATTCTGAAATTTTTGCCTAAGTATAACAAATAAGTGATCATAACTTATCATTTGTGATTAGGTTATCGTTACGATTAGAAATTTTTTTTAGGGAGTCACTTAGCGACAGAAGTACAAGTGGGTCACCAAAATCATATCGACAGGAACCATCTTTAAGGAGTCTTTTGAACTTTTTTTAACGCAATAATAATTCATAATCATAATCTACTTTTTAAAATGAATAAATTTAAAATAAATTTTGAAAACAGTGGTTGCATGATTGCCTCCATCAGTTGTATAATATTTTAATATTAATATATATTAATATAACCATAAAAATGAATATTCTGTGTAGCTGCTATTCGCTCGATCTTTCTATATGGTTGCGAGACATAGCCAATGAGAGCGGAGGATATTAAGAAGTTATCTGCCTTTGACTACTCAAGTCTGAGATACATTTTACGGGTTGTTGGTGTATATAATCTATTTGAAGGAAGATGGATGCGATCATGTGATATCTTATCCGCTCGACGTATCCGTAATATGTGCCTTAGACAAGAGTGGTCAAAGATAACTTCTTAATATCCTACACTCTCATTGGTCATGTCTTAGAACCATTTAGTAAGATTGAACTCACGGCAATATAGATGCGGACTTTTGTTTTTATGGTGATTTCACGACGATTCCATAAAGGTTTCGTCAACCGGAAGAACGAATTTCTAGCTGCTGTGATCCGAGTTAATAAACGATTCCATAAAGGTTTCGTCAACCGGAAGAACGCATTTTTAGCTTCCGTGATCCAAGTTGTAATATCATCTTTTGCCTGTCCATTTGGTATTAGAGTGGGAAATTGGGCATTTCCTCAACCGGCAATGAATTTACAAGAAGAGGCATTTTATCAGCTTCTTGATATAGGACGGAAAGGCTTTCGTTTTATTTACATTGATCCTGAGTCTGATTCTCACTACAATTGCTGACACGTTATTTAGCATAATTTGCATTTCACCATAACTATCAGCAAAAAGGGCTCTATCATCAGCGTGTTTAAGATCTGCGATACGATGCTCTGGACTGATCTGGACACCTTTTGAGTGCCGACAAGCCGTATCCATTATCCAGTCTATCGCATAGCTGAATACTGTAGGGGAAAGGACGCAGCTCTGTCGGACAAAATGATAATGATAATTGGATTATGAGCGGCCGGGTTATCTGCTGCTCTGCTCCATGTCCATCGATTATTTCTAATTGCTATTATTGTGAATTTTTTTTTTCGAAACTTCTGAAAGTTTTTCAAACTGAGGTAAGTTTTTTTTCTAAAATTTAAAAAATAAAGAATTGAAATAAAATATATATAAAATTTAATTTGATTTATCAAATTTAATTTTTTTTTGTCTTTTGTCTTTGGTTGTTTTTTGTTTTTTGTCTTTGGTAGGAGTAAACCTATTATAAGTGACTCTATGGTGAAAGGGTCAGATACACTATTCGCCCTAAATTAAATAATATTTAAAAACTATTAGTCAAAATATTAGTTATAATCAAAAGATAAGTATATAGATGATTTATTGGCAGGGTAACCGCTACTGAAAAATGGGAAAGGCTAGTGTTCGAATCCTGTCGATGCACCATGCTTCATCAAGCGGCAGTGTGAAGAATGAATCGGTGTTGCTCAGTTTGAAGCGCCGATACAGATACTTTGCTTCTTGGAAAGTCTTCAAGCCCTTCAAAAATTGTGGTGGTGTTGCAGACTCATCCATATTTGCCGATATTTCTATCACCAAGTGATGTTCTGAATTTCTCAAGTCCAAAAAGCCAGCTGATCGTAACCAATAATGTTGAGCAATCTTAGAAAAAAAATTCCAAAAATATTTTTAAAACTCAAAAATTTACGCATATAATTTTGATATTACAACACTTTTTCCCGTTTTCTTTCATTCTACTTTATTGTTTTTTATATTTATATATAAAATAAGCTCTGATTCTTCATTAAACTTTCTTGATTTTCCAAAGCATGAAATAATCCTTGGTCTCCGCCAGACTCGCGAGGAATCCTGTAGCTCCCACCAGATTCACAAAGAACTCCATAGTATCCGCCACACTCACAAAAGATCCTGTACGTTCAGTCAGACTCATAAGACTACGTAGCTTCTGCAGGCCTCATGTTGTATTACTCTAAATCTTTCGGTCCTGAAGCGAATTTCTATTATTTGGAATTTTGTCAATATGTTGAAAGTCAGTGTTGCATTTTTTTATGTTTTGCTGTTTTTCTTATTCTATGAATGTTTGGAGGATGGTGAATTTGTTTGCGAAATGTTGTGTTTTAAACATAAAATTTGGTGTGGCGGTTTGCTGTGGGTTCGCATTTAGAGTGACCGACATTTTCCAGGTACTCCAGAAGAGAAGTGCACATTGGTGTCCGACAGGTTTTTTAATGGCCTATCCACTCATATCATGATGCCAGGTCGTGAAAATCCCCCAACCTCAGCATTTCCGTTCAGCATTTCCTTCTCATTTGCGTGAGGTAGAAAAATGGGACCATTAGGACCGACGCATCCACTGAGAGTCGCTATGGATCCATCCAACTTTGTGGCAGCCGATCTGAGTGATGTCTTATTAATCCATGGAGCCGGCCTGGCCAGAAATGTTTTGTGCTGTTTGAGTAAAAAGGAGAAGCACCCTTAAATCCCTCCGTAATCTTTCATTCTCTTCTTGAGGTTGTTGTTTCCTTACATTATTTAGGTCACTACTATTTATTATATCGAAATGAATCAGACATTTATTAATGGATGCTTTTTAAGAACATTTACTTCAAAATTTGATCGCACATAAAAAGTGAATTAATGGGTCTTTTTAATAGTTTTCTTTTTATATTTATTAAAAACTTCAATACAAAGATTTTTTTATTTGCATTTGCAGAAAAAAATAGACTTTTGCTTTTGTCTAAGCAAGGCAGCATGAGAATTATGGAAATTCTGTACGGGAATTTTCTTTTAATTTCTTTTTTGTGATTTTTAACCGTAGTTTACGTAAATTCAATGTTATGGTGAATTCTTCTATGATGGATTTTTCGAGAATAGTTGTTGTTATAGCATAGTAAAGCACAAATTATAAATATGACCGCTGAAAATTATACATGTTTGGTCTTCCATTTATTCTCAGTTGATTATTTCAGTTTAAGTCATTGTTCTCATGTTGTGTAAGTGGTCTTTAATTTTCTGTTTTGCTGGATTTCCATAAATAATGAATTTTTAGTGAATGTTTTGATTCCCTTTTTTCTACATTTTTTTGAAATTTGTTTCCTATTTTATATTCTCTAATAACTGATAAACATATATTATTTTTTTCAGCATTCTTGCATTTATTTTGCTATTTGACATTTCTTCACGAAGTAAAGGAATTTGGTTTTCTGAACTAGCAGAAGTTATGTCAAATGTCCGAAAAAGGCGTATTGTTCAACGAGAAGCTAAAACGATAATGGTACTTCCTAAGAAAGATGATATAATTGCCAAAATCACTGCTTCGAGAGGAAACAATTTACATTCGGTCGAGTTTTTTAACAGTTTTTTCCTTTAATTTTAGAATTCTGTTGTTATCAGACTGTAAAAATACTTGTTTTTTTCACTAATGTTCAGGTATACACTTTTAGTTAGATTGTGTATATAAAGATTTTCTTTTATAACATCATATTTATTAATGAACGAAATACTTTGTAGTTTAGGCATTTAATCTAATTTGGTTAAATGCATGTGACTTGTTGGTCAACTATATTGACATATTATCTTTTAGGTTGAAAGCTCTTGTGGAGAATCTTATTTAGTCAGCATGCCTACCAAATTTCGAAAATCAATTTGGGTAAAGCGTGGAAATTTCGTGGTAATTAGTACGATCCAGGAAGGAAACAAAGTTAAAGGAGAAATAGTCCACATTCTTGATAATGAGAACATTTTATATATCTATGAACAGAACCTTTGGCCTCAGCGGTTATTCTTTTAAAATTCTTACGGTTTTTTGATTAAACATTATTCACCATTGTTTATAATTTCTTGTTGTAATTTGGTTTTATTTTGTATTTTTTTCATCTAACATATCTTTTTTAGTAAAATTTTTTTGCAGCTTCTTAGAAGATGCTGAGAAGCTAACTCGTGCCTTCAGACGAAACGTTCCAGTAAGTAGCAATAAAAAACACGAAATGATTGATGCAGATATGTTGCCTCCTAGCGATAGTGAAGTTGAGAGCGAAGGAGAAGGCGAAAACAAACTAGGAGAAGAAGAGCAGTCTGAAAATTCAGAATATGAATGTGATGATGAATCAGAGGAAGAAATCATTACGTATAATCCAAATTTAAGTGATATCAGGCGTCTTTAATCTATTTTTGTTTTTATTTTTATATTTTTTATTGGATTGTGTGCCTGTACCATGTGGTTATTAATTTTTCTCCGTGAAAATATAATTCCTATTTTCTAGCCGATCTGCAATGTTTATTCCTTTTTTTTGATATGTTTCTACGAATACGTTTTTCATCATATTTCATCGAGCTTTATTTTTTCACATTTTTTACTATTCTGCTATCGCAAAATTTCTTATCATATGTTGATCCGATTTTATATGAAATATTGAACGGTTTATATATATATATTTTGTTTCATTATTTTGTTGTATTGGGGAAAAAAAAAACAAATTTCAACTTATATTCGATTCAATTAATATTCAGTTTTAACAAAGAAAAATTTATCTTTTAAAAAAAGAAAATTTGTTAATAATTTTAATATATTTTTATTTATAAGTATAGAATAAACAAAATGTGAGTTTTTTAACTCAGTGATGTTATCGATAATTGCGTTGGACATGAAATGATCAATTGAGTGTTCGAATGTACTGAATTTAATAAGCGTGAGGACCTGTTCATTTATATGTCTAATGTATTCCGACATATTTAGGACTATCGGATGTTCCTTTTTTAAATTTTATCATTTTTGTTTTTCATGAATTTAGATTAAAATGCGAGAAACGGCAATATTTTACTTCATTTAGGCTCGTGCGATTATCTTTTCCCGGTGTGGATTATTGTCTCTATCATAATTTATTAATACGTGGCGAGGACATATCATTTACCTAATAATTGTTTATAACTTTGCTGATAACTAGTGATTATTTTGGGAATGGGGCTTCTTTATCTAGTTTTTTAGTTTATTTTCTTTTGTTGAAAATTTTGTAGAATTTTCTATATTCACTTTTTTTTTCCTATTTTTATCCAAAAATTGAATAGAAATATGGTGAAAATTGTTAACAAACCGGTCTTTAATTAAATGCTTACTTAATTTAAGTGTAAATAACAATTTAGACTCATGGTCCTTTATATTTTCATTTTTATTTTATTTTAAAGATGTTCTTATGATGGTCGGTTGAATGAATTCGAGAAATTTTAGGAAAGGAAGTTTGTTTAATATTTACCTTGTACTTTTTGTAGATGAATTTAATTTAAAATTAGTAGGTAATATGCTAAAGATTTAATCAATTCTAATCTCAGTCTTTGCAATAGAATCACTTATAGCAATGCATGGGTTTCACTTTTAATAATAGGTTTACCAACAGCCATCAGAGGTGGATAAATGAGATGGATGAATTTTGCTCAGCGATGCCAACCCGCCATATGATATTTTCCCTTTTAAAAATTTAGCTAATAAGGTTTCTAAATTAAAAACTTATAAATTTTTGATTTTTTGTTTAACTCGCTAAAATTACACAGCTTTTATACTGTTTGGTTGTTTTGACAAACATGTTTAAAATATACCCGTTTAATTTTGTGTTACAATAAAATTTTTTTTGCAAGTATTTAAACAATCGATTTGGTTTTTTTCATAAATTTTTCGTGAATTTTTGACAAGTTTTCATCGATTTTATAGATTTTTCGCGGACTTCTTACTGATGAATTTAATGAATTTTTAGAGAATCATCATTTCTAATCTTTTTTTGTAATTTGAATTGGTATTTCTGGTATTCTTTTAAAATATCGATTAAATGTCACACACAATTTTGTTCAAATTTTCTTTTCGAACATTTTTGTGTGGAAGAAATAATATCGCATCGATGACGTTAATTCACTGCGTTCAATAACTTATTTTGAGAAATTATCGTGAATTCTTAAGCTTTTAAGAATTCCTTGCAGATATCGATTTCATGTTTAATCCAAAGCTATAAGATATTTTAGATTTGATAAATTTTTATTAAATAACGAACAATTTTGGTAAGAAAGATGGGAAACAGTTGTTCTTTGATGTTACGAGAAGATGAAATTCATTCGATATCCAGTGAAACTGGATGTAAGTTTCGCATTTGTACCATTTTCTGCATTATGCTATCTCCGTTTATTTGATTTTATTGAATAAGGGTTGTATTTTTGGAAAAAATTTTGAGTTCTTAGCCCAGTAGGCTAGTTAAGTTCCATGAAAATTTTATGGAATTTTCATTGAGAATTGCTAGTTTTTACATGATTTGTGAAAAAAAGTCCGTTTCTATGGTAAAAGCGTAAATTGTAATATTTCATTCCTTTTTTTTAGTTTCTCGCAATCAAATAGTTCGATTGTACAGTCGGTTTCTGTCTCTGGATAAACAAGGTTATTTGCCTTATTATAAGCATTTAATAGTAATAATCGGTAATAATGGGAAATTCTTTTAATCAGTTTTTTCTTGAATCATTCTATGAGTCGTTTATTATTCAGTGATTTATTATTATTCGAAATAAACAAAGAACAAAAGGGCGATAGGTTGAAAGGTTCATTCTAATGAAAATGAGACTGAAACAATATTCCGACAATTTGAGAAGTAGAAGTAAGGGCTCTCAGAACAATTTTTTTCGTTAATCACATTTCATCAAATTTTCGTGTATATATTTTTAAGGTCGTGGTTACCTTGATCGTGATGATTTTCTGAGGATTCCGGAGCTCGCTATAAATCCTCTTGGAGATCGGATCGTTGATGCTTTTTTCACCGAGACAATCAAGTGAATTTTAATCATCATTATTTACGATTTTCGGTTCTAGTGAATATCATAGTTTTGATTTTAAATTTTTTGTGGAAATTTTTTGACATTCATTTTTTTATCTTTTTTTTAAGAGATGACAATGAACAAAAAATTAACTTTCGCGAATTTATACGAGTTCTTGCTCGTTTTCGACCCGTAAGTAAATCTAAATATAATCATCTGAACAGTCGCGAAGAAAAATTAAAGTGTAAGTTTTTCTATAAAATTAGTTTTCTTTGACATGGCAAACTGTAGAGATATTGTTCTAAGGTGAATGATTTATAAAATTTCGCAAATCCGAATCTATGCTGTAGGCCTTCCAAATCAAAGTTACACGTAACTATAACTATAGTTTATTAGTAAAGAATTTACAATATCGTAACAATATTTTGGATGTAGTTTTTCGTAATTCATGTCTTGTACGATAAAACATTTTAGTCGCGTTTTCAATGTATGATTTGAATAAAAACGGTTACATAACTCGCGAAGAGTTTAAAATAATTCTAAATATGATGGTAGGTGCGAATATCACTGCTGAGCAGGTTCTCATTTTTTAGATTATTTTTAATTATTCTTGCACTCCTTTTGTTATATCTTGGTCTATTTCTTTGAAGAATTTAATTTCCATATAAAATTTCCGATTTTTTCGAATAATTTCTGTGGAAAATTCTCAAAGTAAATTGACATGAATTAGTGTAACTGGTATGTTTGCCAAAATCCTAGTGCCAAAATCCTTGCGTTTTTTTAGCTGGAAAGTATAGCAGATAGAACGATTACTGAAGCAGACATGGATAATGATGGGAAAATATCATTTAGTGAATTCTGTCAAGTAAGTACGCGCCTATGATTCTTTAATAATTTTTTTTTCATTTTGTTGAAAATTTGATCGAAAAAGTAGTGTTTAATTCACATTATTTTTCAATTAATTTTATGCTCCATTTATGTTTTAGGCAATGGAAAAGACAGATATAGAACAGAAAATGTCAATTCGGTTCCTAAATTAATTTTAATTCTATAAATTATCGTAAAAGAATTGTATGGGTAAAAAGAAAACAAATACCAATAAAGTGATTTCGGATATGTTCATGAAGCATGATGGTGATGAAGTGCTTTTTAAATCGATTTTAGATTTCATCAGAAATCTTTATTTGCATAAGAAAATTGTTATTGATGGAAAAAGTTCTGAGGATTTCAACCCAAATTTTTCCTTAGTTTCTGTCGCAGTCCCTTTTATTTAGTTTTGACAGAAAATATACCTTCAATTTCCCTTTTATCAATTTTACCAAGCATTTCCCATCAACTGACTAATTTACTAAATGCTGCGTAATAGTTAGGCAAAAATTTCCCTTTATATTTGGATAATCTTTTAAAATAATAATTTCTTATTAGATTCTTAGGTCTTAGACAATCATTTTAATATGCATATTTTTTAAAATATTGACTTTACTCTCTGAATTTTAATTTATTATTTCGCATTTATATAAATAATTTTTTTACATAATTTTATAATTATAATTTTTTATTTTTCCGGTCGCTTTTATAAGCTATTTATTTTCCTATTATGGGTCGGATTAGTTTCGTTCTATTTGAAGATAAAGCTGATAAAAATGAAAGGAACTATTATAAATTTCATTCGGCATTTATACTGTAATAAAGATTTTTTATCAATTCTTACAAATTTCTACGATATATAAACGCGCAAAGTTTATTTAATTGGTCATGGACGAGTTTTGTATCGATTAATTTACTTGAAAATTTCAAAAATTGAGACAACTATGTATGGATTTTATTATTAAGATGAAGGTTTATTAAATTTTCGAAAAATTTCTTAGAAATCTGCTAAATAAAACACGATCGATGTGAAAAATTTATTTCAATTCTCCACAATCAGAAATTTTTATTACGGCCGTTGTCTCACCTTTTTGAACACCATAACCTTTAATAGTTCCATATGATTCAATTTTATCAAGCACTTCCCACCCATCGACTAATTTGCCAAATGCCACATGGTATTCATCTAACCTAAATGGTATTTTTGTTGTAAAAAAGTTCGTTGTCAAAAGAACCGTAAATGAAAAGAACTGAAAAGACAGCCGCATGGCGTGTAATCGTGGTGGTTGATTGATCGATTGATCGTTTGTTATTTGATCAATTAAAATTCAATATAAGCGAAATTTAATAAAGGCTATTGGTTTCGGTATTCATTTTCTTCGTTATATAATTAGGTTGAGTGGAATGGAAGAATGGAAAAGAAAATGAAAATAACCAAGGTGTCTCGTCAAAAGTGATAAAAAATCTTGAACTGTTTGTATTCGGCCAACCATAGTTGTCCATCGACAAAATTCCTCGGGCGTTATGTTCTATTTCGAAATTTTCGTCTTCGAAATATTTCTCGCCAAAAATTGATCGTCCACCTGTTCGATCTTCGTTATTCGTTTCGAAATCACCACTCTAAATAATCGAAGGGAACTATTTTCAAAATTTGGTGTGTTTTTTATAAACATTGTAAATTCATCAATGAATATTGCTCAGGATTTGGGCTCTCTGGGATATTTTATCATAGCGGCGTTCCATGGAGAAAGAGTTATTTTTTCATCTGCTTTGTTTGCAGATCTAGTTATAAGAATTATTCATGACCATTTTAACGAAGGATTCTCAAAAGATTCTAAAAAATTGCATTTCAATGTTCACCAGCGCGATTTCGGGTATTGTAGAAAGTATTTCGCTGCAAATTTTTCACAAAAAATTAGAGTAATCTTTGAAATGGATCATAAAATAACGAAAATAAAGCGTACACAGGCACAAAAACCTGGGATTACTCGATAAAATACACATTCCTTATAACCGAAACCTTTCTCATTAGTACACAATGTTCGAAAGTTCTCGCATGTTTTTGGACATATGTCATCGTATAACTGGAATAAATTTGATCACTTTCAGGAAATAGTCCGCAGAAATGAAAATTTGGGATAAATTTGGGTTAGCGCTCACTATTTCTGCTTAGGATCGCTGAGATAACTTAATGCAGAGTGAGGTTTTGCCATTCGTACATCAACTGATGGCAAAACTGAAGTGGTCGCCAGTACCACCCGGGTGCGTTTTCTACTCCTGTCGAGGCGTACTCTTGCCTTTCAGTCTGAACCCTTATCCACTCAGCTTTCCTATGTGTATTGCAAAGTTTATTTCATGATTTTACATTAAATTTTAAAACAAATATGGAAAAGGCCAAATAAATACAATCATATACATAAAAAAGCGAATAAAGAAATTTACTGAAATCAACAAATAATCATTCGTATACCAAAAAATTGATTAAATTAGGCTAATTTTATCACAAATAGATTTAAAATAGAAAGAGCTAAAGGTGGAAAATTAATGAAGCAACAGACTTCAAAAACCAATCGTCCAATGAATTCATTATCAGCAACAACATCAAGAAACACTCGACTACCGTTTTTGTTCGGCATAGCACGCCTTGCTTTATACGGATTACACTAAATAAAAATCCTCACTGATGGATAAGAGAATCAACGAAAATAGCTCTATTTTACTGAGTGAAAATTATTGTGGCTAATTGTGTTTAATATTAGCAGTGATGCGATGAAAATGATTATTGTTAATAAAAGTTTGCGAATTTTTGAAGTAGCTACGATTTTGATTCTCTTCTCTTTTTTACCGTTTTTGTAGGGAGTGGTTGTTGCCAGGACTATCGCCTCGAATGTTGGGATTCCGATCCTGCCTCCGATAGAAATGCGTTATTAAAAAAATTAGGATAGTGCTAGGATACGCCTGTACTATTATCGCCGCATGACTTCCTATTTTTTAACTAACAACAAACTCAACAAGAGCAAGCTTAACCAGAAATGGTAAATGTTAACCATTGACTTGACTTTTAATTTCACAGCTTTTCCAAAACTAATCATATTTGATTTGAATTTGCACATTTTAAGTTTTATTGATGCTAAAAATAATTTATCGAAGACCTTTTTTTCGCATTTACTTTAATGAATTGAGTATTTTCGAAAAACAATGACTTTTTATAGAGTAGTTTCAAAATCACGATAATGCTCCCAATCCAATACTTCCGTGTACCAAATACAAAAGAATTATTTCCGTCTTCGTAACGGCGACGATTCCCGAGGTTTCTCGGTCAATTGCATCGCTTCATTGATCATTAAAATGAAAATTACATATTATTTTAGTTTTCACTTTTACCACTTTACCTTTTGTGCATATCAGCTAAAGGAGATATTAAGACTCATTTATGGAATTTAAATCCGATGGTGCTACCTTCAAGAAAATATTGTTAATCTTGATCCTGCATTGAATTCTAGGCGCTCATGTTTTCGATCGATGAAGTTCCTATTCGCTAGCATTAATTCACATTGATCATTAATTAGGGAATAAAATAGTGCGTGACTGAGTGACTCAGATTATCTTGTTGAAAGGTAAGGGTTCGGTTTTTGCGGATGGTACTGTTGCTTGTTTGTCGGGCTAAGCGACTTGGAAAAAATTTCTCTTTGGTACCTTTTACATGAAAAATATTTGTATTCCTTTTACAAAGCAACGAATTTAATTGACCGTTGGTTTAAATACGAAAAAATTTTAAGAGCGCTATTGATTAAAAAAGGAAATGGTACCGAAAATGTTCAATGCTTTGATTATATTAAATGCTGTTTTTCTTGCCACAACATACCAAATAGAATCTTTCGGTTGCATGGCTATTATTTGTTCACCGCCAAAAATTTGCAAAGTTATTGATGAAATAGGTTTGGTTATGGTTTTTCTTAAGGCTTTTGCAGTTATTTTATTTTAGAGGCAGTTTATTACGTTATCTTTGTTAACAATAATACTCTTGTTGACGATTATTTTTTATCACTTTATCACCTCGTTTTTTATTACCATTGTCATATGCTTTTAATTGATATTATTGTCATTTTTTTTTTTGAGAATCCCCACCATTACTGGTTAAACTCTCTTCACTGGCTTATCACATTGGACAAATAAGCCAGGGAATCCTTTGGCGATAAAAGTACAGGTGAGTCGCCAGCATCACTCGGATTTTTGGACAGGTTTTACTACTGCGAGGAATAGAACCTCTCAGTATCACCCAATTATTATTATTACCATTATTATTTATTATTGTCAATTATTCGTATTGCTACTTTATTAGTGTCGTGTAGCACATTGTTATTACTCTTATATAAATCTTATATTAACTTATATCAGTAATTGGGAGCTTAGCAGAAGGTTCATTTCGAATTACTTATTTTTTCCATATTTAAAAAAAGTGCAAGAAGTTGAACTGGTCTGTTATAATAAGAAAGATCTATAATAAGCTAGTGATCGAAGTGAAACTCTATCATTGAATTTTAAGTAATAATTTTCTGTTGAGTGAATCTTTTCAGCTCAATGCGTGCTGCAGAATTCTAGTATTTCACCACCAGTCTCAGCTAAAATGCCCCCACCAGCCGATCGGATTTTTTATCCTGCACCATTATTTTGCGATTTGCCTCCATTAACGGGTCAATGTTCAAAGTCTAGAATATTGTGGTTTTATAACTCGGAAATTGGGCGATGCGAGAGGTTTACTTACAGGTATAACGGTTAAGTATAAAAATTTAATATGGTCTTCAAGCAAATATTTCATATCGCCTATTTATATTTATGAGTCAAAGATATCTTATTATTTGAAATTTTAATATACCTATTTAGTAGGACAAAATTTCAGTTAATTAAAATTGCTATATAAATCTAGACGAGTTGAAATTGATTGATACCTAATTATAATTCATATGATCCACTGATATCAACAATGTATATTTCAGCGGATGTGGTAACAGAAATCGTTTCTTCAGCCGCACACAATGTGAACGAACGTGTCAACGAGTATAATTGATAACTGAATAATGTACAAATATAAATTCATCTTTCTTCTTTTGCACTCATTTACTATTTTTTCCAGCAAATCCAAATTAACAAACATTTCATGCGAATATTCCATTATTGCCTGCTACATTGGCCATTTGATGTGATCTGCTTTTTTTTCTCCTGGATAGGGATTTATGATTCAATAAAATTTTACGGAGGTATATTTCTATTAGCATTGTTAACACAGAATGCGATGCTACCGGATAAATCTTATCACCAAAGTGATTTTTCGATGAAGTGAAATAAAAATTGCGCAATAGATAGAATGTTCATTTTGTTCATTCATTTTGAAATTATCACGAGCTTTTTGCAGTAATAAATTCTTGAACCAATTCTCCAGTGCTAAACTGCTCTTTTTATTACTCGATTTCTTAAATTTTTCATATTTTTTTCATTTTTGGTAGATTTTTTTTGACCTGAGTTTCCAAATGGATTTAGTAATTATATACTTTATATATATATATATATATATTCATATATATATATTTATATATATATATATTTTATATATATATAAATCTTGTTGCACCGTATTTTTACTCATTGTTATTTTATTTTGATTCAAAGCAAAATAGAGAATAGTAAAACTTCAAAAATCCACTCATTTAAATCTTTATGATGACTACAACAGTGCTGCAGGCCTACTTGTGCTTCTATTCTTAAGTGACTCTCTGGCGAGGGGATGTTTCTTATCTCAACAGCCAGTGTGGTCTGTCAAATCGGAAAGATGAGTGTTTTTAGAAGAAGCTAATCATTTTGTTAGAAATATTAGAAATAAAAATAGCAAAAAAATGAAAGATCAATGGAGATAATCTAAAGCAGGAGCGAGGCTTGTCACGTTTTCATTCTAGCTAGAAATTAGAGGCCATTCAAAAAATTCGAAGTAAATAACAACTGCATTAAGCAAAAAATTCTGGACTCCACTGATAAATATAATTGGTAGATTTCCCAACCACATTAGAAAAGATAAGTCCTTTTCAGTCACAAAATGAACAAATCTTCTATGTTTCTTCTATGTTACAGCATCAGAAATAAGTAAAAATAAAATGGCTCACCAAAGGTTTAGAGTATCCTATTGCTATAGCTATAATTTAATAAACAAAGTAAGTGGACAATTTCGTATTTATTTTCTATATCGGGATAAAGCAAAGTGTCTCATTAAACAGGCTACGTCAAGCAAGTTTATTTATTTTCCGCTCATATTTTATCATATATTTACGTGATAAACCTCAGCTTCCCTTTTTATTGGCAGGTTCACCCCGATTAAGGTTGAAATCGAGCTTCTCCTTTAGCTTGACAAGTAAAATACCAGTCAACCATCCTATCCATATTTCAAGTTGAAGTTATGCAATGATCACTACCTTTCAGATGTGGGTTGCCAAAAAATGTCTGGCTTTAAAGAATAAAAAACTGCCTTAAATAATCTCCCTTGTAAAAAAAATCCAAGGTTGCGACCGACCCACATACTCAACTATATAGTTGTAAGTTCATTCCCAGTTAAGCATAATTCTTAAAGCCGTATTTATCTTAGGATACAGGCCTTTTCTACGTACTGCTCATTCATGTGTTCATTGGTTAATAACGCGTAAAATCATTTTAACGAACAAAAAATTAGCTTTTAAAATTCATTTTTAATTAGCCTTATCCCAGATATAATCTTTTACTTTAATCTTTTAAATAATTTCATATACATTTGCATAACGAATCGATATTCGCATAATTTAAGATTCAATTTGAGATGCATTGATTTGATATTAAAATTATATAAAATTTTTGGCATATTAACTAAAATATTTATTAAAATTTATCCATTAAGATCACTTTATTAGTGCTTTTATTTTTTAAACTCTTTTTAATATCCCTTTCAATTCACATTTTTGAAATAAATTATTTTAATTCTCAATAATGTGAATCTCGTGATTTTTAAGAATTCAATTATAGAAGTAGACCTGGTTCAGGCATCATGAGCTCAATTTCTAAGAAAGCCTGCCGCCAAAGCAAAATTCAGGTCGAGCTTTTGTCACTCGGCGATTTTCCAGTAAAGAGACTGCCAGTAGCGGTCAGCGAATTTATCCAAATGATAAATGTTGGAAGGAAATTTGAACCAATCTTCACAGAGAAGGGATACGGTAAATAAACATGGGTAGAAAATGTAACGCTTCATATTTTGCTGATTAAATTATCATTTTAAAATAATTATTAATTGTCGATGCATTGAATGATTCATCTCGCAATCTTCTATGTATATGAGGTGAATTTTTATCAAAATGCAATTTAATTTATTTTTATCAAATACAATTTTATTTAAGAAAAACAAGAGGAGAAAAATTTTGCTTGAAAAAAATTAGCTTTAGAACGGATCGTCATCAAATATCACTCATTTCTGGTTTACTGCTTTCACTGACTGCCAGAATAACCGGAGCCTTCACCAAAGATGCGATTGGGGGTTGAAGTGCAACTGGATCCACAGTACTGCCCCATTTATTGTTTCCTCCAATCAAGATGCACTAATGGATCGAATCCATGGTATCCTTAGTCAAAAGAAGCTGCCATTTGACCATTCTGCTCCAGTCCATCTCATTCTTATTCAAAATTTTTCACTTGCTTTACGACTAAAATAAATATTTTCAAGATTTTCTTTATTCTTTCATTTAATAATATTATTTAGAGATAATATTATTTTGAAGGATTTTATTCAATACTCGTTAATTTATTATGTTAACTAAAATCAGAGAGCTGTGGATTATAAAAGCAGCGGAAGCAACGGTGGTTTGAAGCATTTTCACCTGTTTCAAGTTGCTTTTGCTGCCTTTATAATCCACAGCTCTCTGATTTAATAGAGCTAAACCTCCTTCTTTTCTGGATTAATTCTAACTGACTTGATTTGTATGATCTAATTTTATTTTTTCATCGATTCTTTGATTTCAACAAAGCATAGAAATTATTTGTCTAATACTTTTAGTTGATTTGGCTTATTTATCTTGTTTTTATAGCATATTATAGATGTCACGTCGCAGATCTATTGTGAAATTATTTGTTTGGTCTCAATAATTAATTTATATGCAAACATATGCTAGTACTTAAGAGTTTTATAGCTATCTTTTATTGTTTATAATTGTCGCTTCCTTCTGATAACCCCTTTTTCATTTTTATATTTTAGCATGAAATTGAGCATTATTCTGTTAGTCGCTCTCCTCACAACATTTCGAGTGAATGCAACCAATTCACAGCTTTTTATTATCAAAAAATGTTAGTAAACGAATTTTAACGATAATTCTTTTCCATAAAATTATTTTTTCGTTATTCTTGTGGAATTTGAAAATAGAAAATACCATAACCAATTTTGTTAGAGTTGAATACATTACAGTATTAAATTGCACTCGCGAATATGACAAACCTGGAATTCACAAAATTTGGGACAACACAAATTTTAATGGTGAAATTGCTAATTTGTAGCAAAAATCTTTTTTGAAGTAATTTTTGATTCGGACTGAACTTTATTATTTTAATAAATCACAAAATCGATTCGCGAACTTTTATTTCTTTATAATTGTATTTAGCACCTTGGTTTATGAGACCTGCATGGAGACCTGTCGATATACCGAATGCTAGACGATTTTATCCTTCAAATGTCGACACGTGGTTCAAAACGATCGAGAAGGAGGATCCTGTATGAGATAAATCACATGATCAATGCCAATTGCGGCAATTCTTTTTCTTCTCCATAACCAACATAATTTCTGGCCAATTAAAATATTTCTTGAAATCCATTTCATTTCATTTACTTCCATTTCTTTAAAATGAACTTAAAAGCATTATGATAGAATTACTGGGAAAACGAATTGAAAATACATGGGAAAAATGCGAAATTTTTGGATGGATCCCTTTAGTTGTCTACAGGAACACTGAAATGTTTTGTTAGCAAATCGATTTCGATTATTATAAAAGTTATGCTGCGAATTTTATCAAGAAATCACTATTATTTCAACAATTTACTGCAATTACAATCACACTCGATACAAAAATAACAAATGAGGATAAATTTTCTCATTATCCATGTCTATTAATGTCAACGACATTATGGACTGACTGTTCATATAAACTTCATTTCAACGAACAGAATGAATGCTCAAAAGATGAGGATAACCATCTCAAAGTAATGTACTCCTAAACCTCAACTCTAATAACTGATCTACATTTACCGTTAAAAACTTACTGCAGGAGAGAATTACACATTCATTTAATCCATTTTCAAATATTCGCAAGAAATTCATTTGAAATTTATTTTAAAAAAAATGTCCAGTTATATTTAGTGGAAAGAGGTCTTATGAATTTACTGTTGGCGAAATTTTTTTATTATACAATGCTTAAATAAATAAAAATCATGACACCGAACTAATACGAATGAAGGAAAAAAAGTTGCTATAATTTATTAAGAAATATTTGCCCCACTTTTTCAAAAAACTTTGTATCAATATGTTTCATATTAAAACGAGATCAGTATCATAAAATTAAGGTATTTCACATAAAATCATGTCTGCCCCGTCAATTCTGCGAACTGCAATAGTTTCAGCCGTAATTCTTTACATGTGGATGGTTTGACTGATTTCAAAGCCGAATCGAAATCCGCTCTTCTTATTGAACGAAGCTGCGATTCTGAGGCGCTTTCAAGTTCTGAGCGACTTAGTTCTCGTATAGGAATCATTGCCGCCTCCCGACATAAAGCTACTAAATCAGAATTTGAATAGCCTTCAGTGTGCTTAACCAAATCCCTAAATGAAAATTAAGTACAATGTAAAAAATGGTAGAATTATGGAAAGCTACAAAATTTTTGCATTATTATTTGATGAAATTAATAAATGAAAACGAAAAACCAAGAGAACCTTAGACCAGATGAGGAGAGATCAAAATTGGTCTTATTTTTTTGCAAGAGTGATATAATTAATTTGGATCGTGTTTCATCATCTGGTAAATCTACAAGTATCCTCTTAGGAAAACGTCGCAACACTGCAGAATCTAAATCGTATGGCCGATTTGTGGCTCCAATAACCAACAAACGATCTTTATCAGAGGTACGAATTCCATCCATTTGAATCAGGAATTCAGTTTTTAGTCGCCTAGATACCTTCAAGAATTACCAAAAATTAAAAAAAAATATGTGAAGCAAAAGTGAACAAGAAATGTTACATTACAAAAAATACATTCACCTCAGTTTCCTTTTCAGTACGCTCACAAAGAACCGAATCAATTTCATCAATAAATATGATAGAAGGTTGACCGTTACGAGCAATTTGAAACAAAGCACGAACAATTTTTTCTGCTTCACCAACCCATTTTGATGTTAACACCGCTGCAGAAACATTAAGAAATAAGGTTGAGCCACATTCAGCAGCTAGTGCACGAGCCTAAAATAAGATCTTATTAAAAATTGACCTATATCACAGTTTAAAAAGTTTATCTCAATTTCAATTTTCTTTTTATTTTTGATTTTTAAATGATATTCTAAGTTCGAAATTATGCTCAGAATATCATGTTCGAAATCCAGTCCTCTGCCCGACTATCCAAAACAACACCAAAGAAAAAATCAAAGGGGAAACCTTTCTTACTTTAGATAATTCGTGTTTCTTGCAATGACAGTTCACCACAAACTGTTTTTTATTAATTAACAAACTAGTTTTCCTTTAAAAAATGCACTGAGCAACTCTCTTTACCAGCGTTACTTTATATCCACCATATCCCTACGACCACTGCCAAATCAACAATTTGGCCAATTTAAATGTTGAAAGCAAGACGAGAATATATAAATAAAAATTTTGTTAATCAAACTTCTGATAAGATAAGCACAGATAAATAGGGCTTAAACTTACAAGCATTGTCTTGCCATTACCAGGCGGACCAAACAATAATATCCCTTGAACGGGCTGTCTTAACCCAGAAAACAATGCTGGATTAAGAGCAGGTAAAATCACCGTTTCCTCAAGAGCTTTCTTTGCTGCTTCAACGCCTTCGACATCTGCAAATCTTATACCTTGTATATCCAAAATTTCACTCAGTAGCGGTGCACCAATTTTTTCATCGACAGATTTTAAAAGGTCGTTTTTTACCCATCTGACCTGAAAACTAAACAATTTAATACAATCGGGTTTAGACAAAATTGAAAAAAGGACCAACAAAATTAATCAGTTGATTAATCTATTAATCTTAAATACCTTGTTTATTTGTGCTGTCTTGGTCGTAACCATATGCTTTCCGGGGATTTCGTTCGATGTTGGCTTTACAATTAAAGTTGGTTTTAATTTACTACAGGAAGCAGCTGAACGAGAACGATACTTTGAAGCATGTAGGAAAACCTTTTCTGAAAAATGAAACGATGAAATTTTAACAGAAAGATGTGTAAATGTATATCGAATACAAGGTAATTCTTTTAAATCTCATCCTGTAATTTTAAAGTTTGTTTTCATGATTACAGAACTTTTTGGCTATCCTAAAAATATAAATAAAAGTTGAGAAAACATGGAACAAACATGGAATGAAGGGAATGTGAGGATATAACTGGAATTAGAAATAGAGAGTTAAGTTCGAAGATGAAATTAATCAAGTTGAACTTCACTGTGAGTCAACTTGCAAGAATGGTAATAAAATGTGATGGAATGTAATGAAATGAAATATTGATAAAAATATTAAAATAAATCAGTGCGAGAAATTGCAAAGTTCATGTGTTCAAATTGTTCGCGATAAATATCTTCTCTTTCTTCTACTTAATCTATTTTCATCCATTTGAATAACTATTTTCATGTATGAAAATATGCCCTTTTATATTAAAAATTTATATTAAAAAAATTTATGTTAAAAATTATACTCTTTAATGCAATTCATAGATGAACTCTTTGAAAGTTTGCTGTAAAAATCAACCTTCAGGCTAAAAATTTCCCCAAAATAAAATTTTTTTATAGTATCAGTAAATTATTAGAATAAATTATGAATAAATAAAATAAATTATGAAAGAACAGTTTCTCGAAAGCCTTGTGTTACCTGTTTTTTCCTTTTTATTCTCTTTCCTTAAACTCTTTTCTTTTACTTTACTACTACCTTGATCCTCCAAACTTATTTCAAAAATGTACTGATCCACATTAATTCGCCTTTACATTTCTGATAAAAAGTACCGAGATCAGCAAGTCGTGCTTTTGCTGAGTTACGATGCAGTTTTATTACTTCTTTTCGCTTAAGGATTTCATTAATTTTCGTATTTGGTATGCCACATTGTGCGATTAAAATCGCATTTTCAATTTCACTGATTGCCTTTCGATACATATCCATTACTTCGAGCTTTGTTTCACTATCTGAACATATATACCAATAAATTTGTCCGATTTTTATGAACTTCCTTGGTCACATGACGGCTTTTCGTCATATCTGCCCATACTAACCTTACGTGAAAAAATAAACATTTTATAAATACAGTTATTTCACCGTTTTAATATAGCAGATGCTACGAATAATACGAATATTAGGGAAAAAAAATTTTGAAATTAGAAATCTTTCAAATTAGAGGAAATTAGAGATTTTCTCGTAAAAACGTTTGAATTAAAAAGCGAACCATCTTTAGCCGACGTTTCATCGAGTGAAACTGCATTCAGCAAAGTCTCTTTCGCTTTTATATAAGATTTATTGAATTTCACATAATTCTGCAAAGATGCTTGGGTGTTCATCTAAAATTTTCATTCCTTCCTTTTACTATTTACTAATTAAATTTAATTTATGAGGAGCGATTATTTTCTCTTTTTATTTTTTAAAAATATTAATCCTTTTTTGTAAACAGTAGCAAAAATAATAGTAATAATAGTGCTGTAAACAATATTTCATTATTCTTCTATCTCTTAAGTCAACTATTTGTTAAGGAAACAAACAACTGCCCCTCTATCTTTTAAATTTAAATTCAAATTTCCGTGGTAATCGTGAAATTCACTTTCTCCAGAAGTAAAAATTCCATTAGAAAACTAAAATCCGAGTGGCGACTGAGGACCCACCAGTACTCCTTGCCTAAAGTGACCTTGTGGTGGAAAATGGTACAATGTGCGTGTCCTAAAATATGATGCCGTGGTGGATGACAAATATGCAAACCAAGCCTAGCAGAATATTTTCAAAGTTTCAGAACAGAATAAGCCCTCGAACTAACTACTCAAGACCAATTACCAAGACAACTACTTGTTAAAGAAACAAACAACTGCCCCTCAGCTTTGTGTGCAGTAGCGTGGAGAATCAACAAGTATAGAAGTTGGGAGTCAGGTGACGTCTACTTTGTCAAAATATCAGGTGGATATCGCAAACTAGTTCTAGTTTAGATAGTCGGAAGCCCGTTTTCCTCACCTTGAATTTATCTAGCTTGGAGCAGAGATACTGACTGAATCATTTCGAATACTTTGGGATAGTGTAGCGATAGCACATCTCAAAACGACCAAAAGGTGACATAATCATAAGTCGAGGGAAACTGGAATACGTGATGATGATATGATATGCGTGATGGGTGCTTTATGTCGTTAGTAAACGGCATAGCGGTCCGATTCAATTGAGCCGAAGACTGACAGAATATGACGACATTCCAAAGGAGATCGTTAAGATATTTTACTAATATCTATCAGCAAAAGTCTGCATTTCCGCGATGTTTACATTCTTTCGAAATAAGAACTCTTTCCATGCAATATTCGACTATGTCATAAATTACATTAATATCACTTTGAGCCAGCACATAAAAGGTTTGCCAGCCCAGATCATATCACAAACCTTAGCCGAATACGTCGATGATGCGAATGGTGCTTTCTGCCGATAGATTAAGAAATATCGACAATTGTAGCGAAAACTGTGCTTCAATACAATAATAGGAAACCTTCTTGTTTTACATGTCAGACACTGATACAATTTTCTATTTTTATTAGCGATTATCGACTGCGGAAGTTAAATAAAAAGTTATCTTTGATCCACTCTTATACCAAGTGGCCAAACGAAAGATGAAATCCCAACTGTAGTGGCCGCAAATAGGAATGGGTTCTTTAGTCTGACGTAGAATGGCAGCGAAAGTTTGGATCTATGAAGTAAACGCTATCTCGTTATTTGGCTTCGAAACGCGGCCCATGACAGTAAAAGATACTGAAAAGCTAAAAACTTTCAGTCACTCACGCTTGAGACGCATTTTGCCTACCGAGCGGATAAAACCTCATATGATAGCAATTCATTTCGATGTACCCTCATTCATGCACCATCAACCATCTTCGTCACATATCTGACGTCTACCTCTCTATTTATTAAGTCATGTGATGGAGCGGCAAAAGCGAGAAGGACCAATCAAGCCGTGCACTGATATAGTCTGACTTTTTGAATGCATAGGCTCGTCAAATGACAAACGGGCTTAGATGGAAGTAAAATGAGTGATTTTTATTATTTTTAAGCAATGCATTGGATCGAGCAGCTTGGAGAGGCCTCACCTTAACCAGCGAAACCAGCCCACCCAGTAATGCTGGCTGCGAAGAATCATTCTGCAGCACTTATCATTCCCAGTTAAACCCGCTTTGCTGGTTGTTGGTGCGGTGAGACATTAACAACTGCACGAAATCAACCGCATTCACACTTAAAAGTTTTGAACCAAAATTAAATTTTAAAAAAGTTTTGCAAGCACCCTTTGCAGTGACTTCACTTTTCTGTTCTATGTATACTTATTAATTTAACTGAAACAAAACAGTACTTAACAAAAGGATGAAAAACCCCATATAAACCGTCCTTCCAAAATTTTGCCTATTTCTGCTACGTAAAAAAGGAATATCTGAAATTGGCTGCCTTTATTGTGACTGCGCTGAGTCGACAAAACTTTGAATTAATCGCGGCTCGGCCGAAGACATTTTGTTGAGCGGTAGTAAAATTTTGAATTCTAATATTTGAACAGAATTTATCAACATGAATTGTTGCACAAATTTGTTCAGCATATTGCTGGCTCGTTAAAATCATGACAGTTAAACTTGCGGAAAGATTTGTTAAAGCTAATAAATTTTTGTTTAATTTGGTAATTTGTTGAATTCGGTGAAGGATTCCTTTTGGATATTAATGAAACAACGAGTCATTTCTTGAATATTTTGTTATGCAGTCCATTCATTGATTTTTAGTTAAAAAAAATCAAGTAGAGTCTTAAGCCGTTTGTGTGCTTAGTGGATAATATAATTGCAATAAAAGAAAAGCGTTACACCATACAGTGCAGCAATACATATGGGGAGGTAGAATGGCTCAGTGGGTTGTTGTTCAATTCGGAGCGCCGATGCTGAGATTGTATTCTCTGTAGCAGCAAAAATCTGCGCAAAAATCCGGGTGATGCTGGCGAGTCACCTGTAGTTCTATCGCCAAGAGATTCCCTGGTATATTTGTCTAGTGCGATAAGCCAGCGGAGCCAGTTCAAGCAGTAATGATGAGGGTCCTTAAAAAAAACATACGGAGAGAGAATACAAATGAAAAAGAGGACACTAAATATATTATGTTGTAATGAATGGAGGATAAGTTTGTGCCAAGTAATGTAATGTTATGGATGGCAAACACTAATTTATCTTTAAAGCTAGATTCTGATCGTGTATATACTATCTGAAGGTAATTTATTCCAAAAGCCAATATTTTGAATTTTTTGATATCTCTTTTATCTTATCTTCTATCTATCTATTGCGTCCTGTGTTATTCAAATTTAATGAAAGGGCATAGTATTTCGTAGAATCGAGATAGTACCAGATTCTCTCATAAGTATAAATCAGATCTTGTTTAATTTTGTTTAATTCTCTTAATCCTTGATGGATCTAGATTATAAGATCTGAATTTTAACATAAAATTAGTTGTAAGATTTACTGTGGAATTGTAAGACGATCTGAACTGAGGTGGCGTAAGAAATGTTTCTGTAAATGTTTCTTTTAATTAGCTTTACTGGTTTATTGTTTTCACGAAAGGAGCATATTTTATTCGAAGTTTTTTTTAAAGAGTCCTCACCATTACTGGTTAAACTCGCTCCATTGGCTTGTCGCATTGGGCAATGTCCCAGGGCGATAGAAATACAGGTGAGTCACCAGCATCATTCGGATTTTTGGACAGGTTTACTCCTGCGGGGAATCGAACCTCAGCATCGGTGCTCCAAACTAAGCAACAACCCACTGAGCCTCTATTTATTTTATTCAAAGTGAGGACGTAAGAAAGTCTTATATTAGTAAGAAAAGAATAGGTTTTGTTTTTGAAGGTCTTGAGCAAATAATTTAAGATTTTTTGACCATCATCCTACTATGAAGATGAAAATTAAGATTAAGATTTTTATCGACTACAAGGCCTAGATCAGAAACTGTTATTGGAATTGTTTGTCTTAATATCCTCAGTAGGGATGTCAGATGATTTCAGGTTAATATGCACAATTTTATATTTTTAAATAACAGGTAGTTTGATTTTCATCGCCTAACCAACTGACCATATAATTCAAGTCAGCCTATGAAGCAGATAAATCATATGACAGATAAATCATAAACTGATCAGATAAATCATAAACTGGGATTTCTTATTTTGTTTAATTCCCTCTATCGATGAAAAAGGTTAATTTTCTTAATAGCATCATTTTATATCTAATAGACCGATATATCCCTTTAAGAAAAACGAACATTAGGTCAATTCCCACTTTTCTAAAATCCCTTAAGAAAAGTGTCAAGAAGCTTTATAACAAATATCAATTAACCAAATTGCCAAATGACCTCTCTGCATATAAAGAATGCTTAAAAAGTTTCCGTAGCGCCATTCATAATTACTTTTCAAATAAAGAAGAACAACTTTTAAATATTGATAGAAATTCTTTCTGGACCTATATCAAAAAAAAA